AGATGAAGATCCGATAGTAACGTTTACCAAAACAGGTAGGTACTGAACCACACTGGCCGTAGTGCATCAACTAATCCAAGTAATAAAAGAATAAATGAAAAATTTTACTAACGTAACATATTACCAACCACACAGACACGCACCAAATCAATTTATTGAATCTGATATTGGTAAAATTTAAAATAAAATTTTAAATTAGTAAGGCGTAAGCTAATAATATTTAATTAATACCTTCCATGTTCTCTCATATCCTCCACCATAACAGAACTTGTCATTGAGTACAAATAAAATAGGCATCAACCGATTTCTCAGATTGCCCATATGCATCTTCAACATGAACCTTACATCTAGAGTAAATGTTTAATAAATAAAAACTTCAAAACGGAAAGGACATCAAAGATATGCCGCCGATCCAATATAATTATTGTTAATATTTTATACTAGTACTACTAATCCTTTATTGTGTGATACATGAGCTACTGATATTAAAACTGTATTTATAAATAAAATGTGAAGTTTATACTAATATCATCATTTAGCATACGTTAATTATAAGCAAGATTACATGGCCTATATAGCATGGTCACGGTCGACCACATGATGCGGCCGCCAATGGTCATGGCCTACCTAGCCGGTCAGCCGCCACCGAGGGTGACCGCAATTGCTGGTTGGCTGGCGGCAGCTCGATCGGTTTCGCTGGCCGGCCAGAAAAAAAACGTACCTCTTGTCGTCAGACATTTTCTCATCGGAATCGTCTGTTCCATAGAATTTACAATTTTCTGAATTTTTTTTGAAAACTATCTTGAGTACAAAATAGTCCAGAAGGAATGGTATGTAGTAACACCAAGTAGAGTGACATTGTCGTATTTCAACTATAGGCCATAAAAGCGCCCACTTTTTCTTTTGAAATAATATCATTTTAGGTTTAGGTACATTACCAAGAACATAGGGCCAATATCTAAATAGTCATCTTTGTTGTTGTAACCAATATTCGATTATATGCATATCCGCATATGTTTTAACTATTATAAGTTTTATGTTTATATATAATATTGAAATTATAAATTAAATAATAGTATATCATATTTTAAATAATTTTAGCATCAGTAAAAAACATTATAAATATATTCAACTTCATCATTATACTCAATTCATAATTAAAGTTTAACTCAATTTTAACTTAACTTCATTATCCTCAATATTATAAATATAATTAAATAATACCAATTAATCATTTTTATACATTTCATCAAGTTTAATTTACTATCCATTACTCACATGATTTTAACTAATCATCACCATGCATTCTCTCTCATATATATTTACATCAAATCAATTTTAATTTTATTTTAAATATTATTTTAATATAAAACTAAATCTCATTATCAATTAACAATACATTTTTTTAAAAAAAAATTAAGTTAACCGAAAAACTCATTTTCAATGGAAATCCTTGTGTAGAAACACGCTTACAATTTTATATAGGGTTAATTGCATAAAAAACTCCAACTTTTTGTTTAATTGCAAATAAAACTCAACTTTTTTAATTGGACAAAAAATACAAAACTTTTATTAACTGTTGCAATTTTGTCTCACCCGCCGGACCTCCGCCACCCGCCGCCGGCCAACTTCGCCAGATATTGAAATTTTTTTACATGATCTTGTAGCTCTCCTCCGTGCCGACAACATATCCGAGTTTCACAAAAAAATTCCGAAGATAAAGGCTTCTAATTTTTCGGTCAAAGGTCATAGATCTACAAACTTTCTGCGACCTTTGACCGAAATTAGAAGCCTTATCGTCGGAATTTTTTCGTGAAACTCGAATATGTTGTTGGCACGGAGGAGAGCTACAAGATCATGTAAAAATTTTCAATATCCGGCGAAGTTGGCCGGCGGCGGGTGGCGGTTGCGGCGGTCGAGACAAAATTGCAACACTTAATAAAAATTTGGTATTTTTTTGCCAAATTGAAAAAAATTGAGTTTTATTTGTAATTAAACAAAATGTTGGGATTTTTTATGCAATTAATCCTTTTATATATATACTCGGCAAACAGTGTGATTTGTGAAGATGCTACCATAATCAAATTCCCTTCTACAGTGTGAATATACAGTTGCAGTCAGGTAGATTACTGAATTGGATTGAATTTAAAAGCTCTTGGAAGGGATAGAAATCAATGGCGGCGGCTGGGAAGGTGTCGAATGGCCCCCACGAAGAAGAGGAGCTGGCCGGAGGTATCGACGGGCCGACCAATCCAATGGTAACTCCTCTGTTAACTGATCTTTACCAGTTCACCATGGCGTATGCTTACTGGAAAGCCGGCAAGCACGAAGAACGCGCAGTGTAATTTGTCTCTCGTCCTGTTTTTCTAATTGTTTTCAGCTGGATTAGTTATTCGGCGATCGCTTAATTTGCAGCGGATGAGTTCAGTAGCTCTTGTTGCTGGATTGGAATTGTTTGATTGGCTATTCATCTTAGGAATTTCACCAATGCATTTTCTGACATTGTGGGGTTAATTGTATAAGTATACTTAGATATAAAATCTCTGCTCATTGGATTAAATTTTAGGAATTGGTATGCGAGCGTTGTTGGAACTATAGCTGAGATATACGGTAATGTTTTGTCGAAAGTGTTGCGTTGTCATAAGGTGGTAGGATATGAAAAGAAAATTTTGTTTGTTGTCTTTGTTCATGTACAACAGTACAAGCCCATAGCTACTACCTAATGGGAGTGGAAGGTCGTAATTCCATTTGATGCTACGAGTTGTGGCGTTAGGGAAGCTTTTTTAGTAATTATTTGTAGCACCACAGATTGATGTAGTGAATAATTTCTCATACAAGTTTGAGAAAATTCTCATATGTGATGCTATGTTTTGTTCAGGTTTGATCTGTATTTCCGGAGGAACCCGTTTGGCGGGGAGTTTACAGTTTTTGCTGGTCTAGAAGAGTGTATCAGGTTAATTGCTAATTTTAGATTTACAGAGGATGAGATTGAGTTTATCCAAGCCTCCTTGCCTCCTTCATGCGAGGTATATTGATAACTCAATAAGTTAATGTCTATGTAGTTGAGTTCTATTTAAATTATTTATAATAGTAATTAATTCTATAAGCTTCTCCGATCAAATTACTTATGTTTAAATTACATTTCTGATATCTTGACTGTATAGACTGCTAGCTTCTATCGATAATTAATGCTTAGGTGATTACAACAATGCTAGTCGCGAGAGTGATGATCTATTTTGTGGATAAGATAGTGAGTCCACTTTTTATGTTATTTTGTTTTTATGAGTGCAATTTAATGAACTGAAACTGGTAGTTTGTTTCTCAATATATTGCAATTTGCCAATATTTAAATTTCTTTGGTTAAACTTTCGTATGAGAGGTCGTGACAAGCCTAAATGAGTATTAGGCAATGATGTACATAACAATGCTTAAATGTTTTGTAAATTGTTCTGGTCAGATTCTTGGGCTGGTCTGATTTTATTTTGTTTTCCACGAGCAACGTGTTTTACCAATTTCCGCTGCTTTTTGTTAACTACTTGATTTGAAAGAATTTGATTAGATTGCGACCTATTGCATTTGTCTATCGAATTTCTGCGCATATCTTATTAGCCAAATTCATATTTCTGTAACTTGATATTTTTTAGTCATCGTAAGATGTACTAACCCTTGTTTGGCCTTAGATTGGTTTCTTTGACTACCTTCGTGGAATTGATTGCTCTGATGTGGAGATACATGCCATTTCTGAAGGATATGTTGTATTTCCAAAAATACCATTGATGAGGATTGAAGGACCAGTAGCTGTAAGTATCTCTTCCTCCGTACACAAACTTACCAGTCATTCCACAAGTTGGTTTGCTAAGCTGATATCCGTATACATTTTTATTATTACTTAAAAATGACTAGTCATTTGTCTAGGTGGTTCAATTGCTTGAAACACCACTCGTCAACCTTATAAATTATGCATCCCTAGTTGCTACAAATGCTGCAAGGCATCGTTTTGTTGCTGGAAAGTCCAAATTACTTCTTGAATTTGGGTTGCGGCGGGCACAGGTCATAAAACTGCTCATCTCATTTGGGTTTAGAAATCTCATCCTTGTTGTAAAGCATAATATGGCTGTTTGTCATATTGGTGCAGGGACCTGATGGGGGTATTGGAGCATCAAAGTATTGCTATATGGGTGGATTTGATGCTACAAGGTAATTTTTCCTTAAAACATGTACTTTATTCCCATTTTTTCCATCAATGCGTTTCATTTTGTGATTCTGTTCAATATGATGCTCGAAACTGTATTTAAATTATCATGACTTAAGAGGCAGATGTTAAAGTCGATGCAGCACTTTATGGTCTGTAATTTAATAGATTTGACTGCTCTGTACAGGTCATCAGAATAATGAATTTAATTTGACATTGAGCAGATATTAAATGGCATGGATGCAAAATAGTCACATACTCACATAGATAGTTTTGCAGTTATTTACAATAACAGGACTTTATTGATACTTCCAATTATAGACAATGCTATCATCCTCCAATTTTCTAATTTCCAAATTTGAAAATAATTGTGCATCAGTCGTGATACTTCCAATTAGAGTCATTGTTGACAATTCTCCTGGCATAGTGCTAATAATGGACTAGATCAAAATGGCTCAATTAAATTCTAGTGCTTCTTCTATTAGTGAAGTTTCTAGAAAAAAATATATCAAACAACGCAACGCACCTTGGGTCGCTATGGAAACAACCTCCTTGTATAATTACAAGGGTAAGGTCTGCGTACAACTGACCCCCCAGACCCCAACCTGTTGGGAATATACTGGGTATGTTGATTGATTGATTGATTGATACTCACATAGATAGTTTTGCAGTTATTTACAATAACAGGACTTTATTGATACTTCCAATTATAGACAATGCTATCATCCTCCAATTTTCTAATTTCCAAATTTGAAAATAATTGTGCATCAGTCGTGACATTGTTTAACATTCCTGCTAAGTATTTATCATTTTCACTTCTTTGTAATCTGTATAATTTGTTGACGAGGCTCTTTTATCTTTGCCTTCTGGTGTTGACAGCAACGTTGCCGCTGGAAAAATATTTGGAATACCACTTCGTGGGACACATTCACATGCCTTTGTCAGCTCATTTATGGTATTTATCATTATGTTCTTCAAATCTTTACTCAATATTTCCACAGATTACCATGCTTTTTTGTACCGCTTGTGCTTTTCTCTTTTTCACTTTCTTGTAGACCTCTCCCCGTCCCCATTTCTTTCTAGTTAATGCTTGTATGATTTCTAGATCTTGTATTTGTGTGTAATCCTTTCTGTTTTCTCCTTTTCTATCATTTGACTTCATATTCTGTGTTCTTCATTCTGGATTGGTACTTCTCTTCGAATTTTCTATGTAGGCTAGGTACTTAAGTCCTTGCTGCTTCTTTTTATTATCATTGTCTTTAAGATTCTTCGATTCTGAGTGCGTGCCTACTTTGGATGAGAAGAAATGATGATTAAATGCTATTCTGCAAAAAATAGGGCTGGTATAAAGTGGATTTCCAATTTGGTTTGATTTAATTCTAGAGAAAGGTAATGATGGTTCTCCTCATGGTCCTAGAATGGTTTATTTATAGGATAATATGAACTTGTAGACACCTTCATGTGAACTTGTCTGGCTCTAACTATTGAGCCTAACAATGTGAACTAGCTTTTCTCGACTCTTCCAATGAGTACTTTAGCCACTATTTTGCAGTTCTCTGAACCATTATTTGTTCAGAGTCTCACATTGTCCTGATACAACCTCCATGATTTATCCCTTATCTGAATGTCTATTAATTCTGCAGAGCCCTGATGAGATCACTGAAAAGTCACTCAAAAGTTCTGATAGCACAAAAGTATGTGCGGACTTTGTCAATCTAGTGCAGGCATGGTTAAGCAAATTAAAGGTATGATCATTTATTGTCACTGTTTTCTCATGCATTGACCTTTCCTCATCCTATCACAATGGTTTTCCTCATTCTATATCCGATGTGTTACACTATGTGTTTTGAAATGGTTTTCCTCATTCTATATCCGATGTGTTACACTATGTGCTTTTCAAAACATTGGTTTTTACACACCTTGATTCGTCGTGATTGTCTGGAAAATGTATGTGATACAAATCACTTAGGCACATCACATATCATGCTCAAGGTACTTGTTCAATCTCCCATGCTGTCAGTTTATGAACCATCAGGTAAAAACGTAATAAGACCATCATCATGTGGTTTCATGGTTCAGCAAAAAGTCTTGAAAGTCTTACTGTCATTTGATAAATGGATATAACTCATCCTCAAAACCTGCTCAAAGGGAGAGGGTGTCGCACCCACCCTTATACACAATAACTTCCCAATAACTAATCTATGTGGGGCAAAGATAAACTTTGAACATCATTTATGATTTCTGTGCAAGCAATGAGTTGAATTCATCTTAGCTGAAACCATAACTAAGAAGTAAGCTGACAGTATTAGGGACACTCTGAACTAATGTTTACATAAGTACCTAATTTCAAATTCTGCCTTGATTGGAATGTTAAATTACTGATACAGATTCTTCATTAATCTTGTTTGTGAAGAGAGAAAAAAAAGTCAGTCTTGTCAGCGACTCATTTGTGTAGCCAATTCATGTGACACATATTACTCCTTTAAGTTGTAGAACTTTGGAATATATTGTGTGGTCTTAAACAGCTAGTGTACTTTACTATGATGACATTGAATATCGCCGAGCTTCACGAAAAAGATTTGATACCTTTATGGGCTTCAATCTCGCAAATGCATGCATTTACATTGCTGGAAGTTGGAACATAGACTTTTTGTATATGGTTTTGCTAAGATGTTGAATTCAAATTGTCCACCTCTTCAGAGATCACAGTTGGGGGGAATTTTCGGTGAAACAAACCAAAGTGAATTAGCTGCTTTCATGTCATATGCCCTTGCCTTTCCAAAGGACTTTTTGGCTCTCGTCGACACATATGATGTGAGTGAAAATTGCTAGATTTGTATCTTCCATTACTTTGAACTTGTTATTTTTTATCCATGTGGCTTTGTGCAGCAATCTTCATCCAATAGTTATCAATCAAAATAATGAATTAGTAAATTGAATTTCCTAAATATTAGGCACTTATCTTGGTGAAAGATGGTTTCATATGGAAACCTTTCGAATAATTTGACTTCTCTACAAATATTTACATATGAGACTGTTACTTGATCATTGCCTCGGGATTGATGTTTCACTCACACTGCTTATTTCCGTGTATCGCGTATACTACGTGTAGATTCTATTTCATTGATCTTGTGTTATACTAACGTTCTCTGTAATATGTTGAACAGGTTATGAGAAGCGGTGTTCCTAATTTTTGTGCAGTTGCCTTAGCTCTAAATGATTTAGGGTGAGTTAGAATCCCTGAACTGGTATTTGTACTTTATGTTGTGTGTCATATATCTACTGCCTTGTTGGATGACAAGCTTACAACTTGGTACCATTTCTGAAGCCAGTTAGTTGGTCAATGTCAATTTTATTTGTAAGTAGATATTGAGTTGTTACGCATGACAGTTAGGTCGCCCGCTTATATGTCTATCTGTTCACATATATGGTGCAAATAGCGTGTGGAGTTGATAATAGAACACGTCAAACAATTTGTTTGGCTTATCGATGTGGTTAATTTTTCAAAGTCACCCCATTACACCTCAATTGCAGTCATTTAGACCGAAACATTGCTCCACAAGCGTCCTATTTATCTGTTTGTTTCTCTTCTGGTAGTAATCCGTCTTTTCTCTTAATACCTTCCTTTTTTATAATGTTGTTGCAGGTATAAGGCAATAGGTATCAGGTTGGACTCTGGTGATCTTGCCTACTTGTCATGTGAGAGTCGAAAGTTCTTTCAGACAATTGAGAAGGAATTTGGAGTTCCTGATTTTGGGAAGACATGTATTACAGCAAGCAATGATCTCAATGAAGAAACTTTGGATGCTTTAAACAAACAGGTGCAGGCAAATGCATAGTGTATCTCAAAGGCCTATCATTACCCAACTCTGTTCATAGATCTCTTACTGCAGATGGCTTAGATGACTTTTCTGCCTATTATAGTCCATTTTGATCACTAGGAAGTGTAATGGTTTTCCTATTATTTTGTTCTTGTAGCTGATTGCCTCTTTAGTTCTGGGCCTGTTTTTACTTCATGGAAAGATCCTCCATCCATGCTAATCTAACATTTGTTTAAAAATCCTCTTCCCCAAATTAAGAGATAAGCCTTTTGAAATTCCTTCTATTCCCTCATTAAGCAAGAATAAATGTTCTAACTATGCATTGGATTAGAGAGTGTTTTTTTTTTTTTTTTTCTAGTTTATTTTTTTTTAAATTCATCTGAGAACATGACCGTGTGAATGGTCTGTAAATATTTTCTCAATGTGTTAAATGGCAACAATCACTGAATCTCTCCACTTCTTTGTTAAACATGTTTGTACACTAGTATTTTATATAGGCTTGGTGATCTTATAGGTACATCCTGACTAGTTTACTGCTTGGGATCATTAATTATGTGCTATCCTCTATGGCCAGGGCCATGAAGTCGATGCATTTGGAATTGGAACACATTTGGTTACATGCTATGCTCAACCTGCACTAGGTGTAGTCTTCAAATTGGTTGAAATAAACAGTCAACCTCGCATCAAGCTTTCTGAAGATGTTTCAAAGGTTTGACCCATCATCTTCTTGCCACATCATGGTTGTATTAAGAGTGGTGGTATTTATTGAGCTCTGGTTTCAGGTCTCCATTCCATGCAAAAAAAGATGCTACAGATTATATGGGAAAGAAGGTTACCCTCTTGTTGATATTATGACAGGGGAAAACGAACCGTCACCAAAGGTTATTATCATGTTTTTTAAATTATTAATCATAAGTGCTCCCTAGATTGCTGTATTATTCTCCTTTCCCTGTCACTCAGAAAAGAGTCAATTTATTAATGTTTTTAGTTTTGGAAATGTGGAATTAAGATTCTTGGCAATCGGTCACAAGCAATTACTGCCAACAGTTACTTTACCTGGTCCGATACGCAGGTAGGTGAGAGAATATTATGTCGCCATCCTTTTAATGAATCCAAGAGAGCATATGTTGTCCCACAGCATGTAGAGGAGCTTCTGAAGTGTTTTTGGCCTGGTAGATCAGGTAACACTTTTGAGGTGGATAATATCACCTTCGAATATGTTAATTCACCTATATATTACTACTCGTGTTTTCCCAAAATTTCATGCCGAAAATACATCCTTATTTTTTTTTTTTTTTTTTTTTTGTTGGGAAGTTTGGAACTGCATTTAAGTGCTTATAAGTGGTATTTGTGCTTTATCAATTACAACTGTTGTAGGTAAAAGAAGAGAAGAACTGCCACCAATTAAGCTGATCAGAGAACGGTGCATTAACCAACTGGGTCAGATGAGACCTGATCACATGAGGAGGTTGAATCCAACACCGTACAAGGTAACAATAACTCCAAATAACTGCCTCTTTTAACACCTTTCTTATACTTGTTCTTTCTTTACATGATCATGTTTTGAACCATATTCAACTGTGCAGGTTAGCGTAAGTGCCAAACTATACGATTTTATACATTTTCTGTGGCTTAACGAAGCACCTGTAGGGGAATTGCAGTGAGCCCAACACATACTTATGGGCATTATGGCCAACAGGACAACTACAGAGGACCAAATAGCATACTATTCTTTACCCCAGAGTAGCACTTGTTAATCTTGTTTGTTTTCTTATAACTGGAATAGTTGTAAGTTGTAACTCTACCTTTCCTTAAATTCATCTATTTGGTGATCAATAAAAACCCTCACTCGGGCAAAAATGAAGAAACGAGCCTAATCATAGACGACTTCCAAAAGAAAAAAAAATAAAAAAAAAAATACTGCAAATGTTTATTAACTGTGCTCATGAAGATACATGGGCACCAAGTTTACATGGTAAGATAACGAAATACAACAGCTCCATTTATATTACACTCAGTGTTTGACATAAGCAACTATTAAATATCACTCTGTTTTAGCATTTTCTGTACAATCTGAAAATAGGGCTCTCAAATTGATCTCAAAGTTAAACCAACACAATCAAGTCTTTCAGCTGAACCCACCCATAAGCACTCCTGTCACGAATTTTCTGTATTGTTGATGCTGCTAGTTCGACCAGTGGCCTGATTTTAGCTAGCTCCTTTTCCAGGGGCAACCTTTTATCACCCTCAACCTGAAAATTTCAGTAAAACACAAATTTAAGCGGCCCTATTTTTCACCTAAGTCGAAATGCAAGTAAACCCGAGAGGAAAAAATGACTATATAACCTTCTCAATGCAGCGCAAGGTGTCTAGAGTGTAGCAGAAATACGAAAGCTGCCTGTACAGATCTGCTTCCGTGTACTAATCGGAGTAGTTAACGCAAACAAATAAGGAAATAAAATTCAGTAACTACAGTTCATCAGATAATGTTACCATTACAATGATGTTGCAAAGAGGATTTTTACGGCACAAACCTGTCTTATGAGGTGTCCATTACAACGTGGGTAATTGGGACATGTGGTTCCTCTTGTAGAATCACCAAGCACGCGAAGATTCACGCTACATGTAGTGTAATTGCATGTTTCGTCGTCACACTGTTAAAAAAAAAAAAAAAGGGAACAAGATCTTTTTTATCAGACGAGGGGTGCATGTAAAATTTGGTTGTGTAAACGTGATTAGTCTCATTCAAGTGAAATACCATCATCACTCCCTTGTAGTATGTTGCCATGAATCCTTCGGCTTGTCTTTTTACCTGATAGAAAAAAATAGGCAGAGTTAAATGAAAATGTTGGAAGTATGTAAGAACTTCTACGTATGGGACAAATTTTGTAACATTATTTACAGTCAACTGAAAACACATGTTATATGTTAAAGCCAAAAACAGGTTCCTAGTAATATATTTTTTTTTTTCTTCTAATAAAGAAAGATATATTTTTCTCGTAAAAGATAAACATAGATTAATCAGATCTAAACCGGCTAATCTCTGTTTAAACAAAACCCATTCATATTCACAAAAGCCGAAATGAAGTAACCTGGTTTGCAATAATAGCAGGAGATATTCTCCCGCCGTCTTTTTCAGCTGGACAATTTGGACACCGCAAATTGTGCCAAAAATTATTGGCTGGTTGCTTGTCTGTTGGCTTTGTATTGATCAACGCATAGACTGAGCTAAATATGGGCGAGCACTCGAAAGTCCCGGAGCAACTCGGGCAGGAGAGAACCAAAGGCGAGCAACCTCGATACCTGCAGTTCAGAAATTTCATTAAACCCAATGCCATTATTGCTAACAGGCATAAAGACAAAATTTGGAAAAGCGAGATAAATGTGGTTTAATGAAAATCAATGTTTCATGTACTGGCAGAACTATTTTTTTAAGAGAAAGAGAGAAGTACCTCTCCTCATCGTCCAATGCAAATGACAACAAACTTGATGGATCGTTGCTGATAGAATCGCTTGATTTACTCTGAAACTGATGAATTAAAGATTAAACTGCCGCTTATCATGCTTGCAAATGCTTGAAGAAATACATTATACATGTAGAGAGATGCCACTAACCTTCGATGAGTCAAGCCCTAAACAATCAGCTAAACGTGCTGGACTTGTACCCTGAATTGATGCACATAGACGTGATATGACAGGATGAATCTGCATGAACATTGGTGAAAGGTATTTTTAGCAATATGTCACAGAAATCAACAAAAAAAATAAAAAAAATAAAAAAAAATAAATGAAAAGGAAAGACACACACACGCACACACACACACACACACACACACACACACACACACACACACACACACTAACAGCTACTAAAAATAAACTACAGAAAACAAACCTGCTGTGCGAGGTAATAGTCAATGTCAACAATCCAGTTTTCATTGTTCTTTTTCAGTTCATCAGGATGTCTCGCTCTCTGGGCAATTCCAGCAGAGGATGTAGAGCCTTTGCCCTATAAAATGTACATACGACAAATTTATGATATACGATCTGACCTTACACAAAGATTATGTTCGCAAAAGACAGGTATTAATTTAACTAAATCTGCATAATCAAGGATAAAAAGTAAAAAACAAAAAAAAAGACAAAAAAAAAAAAAACAGAACCAGTGGCAGACCTGCTCACAGCAGATGATGTAAGGCACAGTGTCTCCAGCAGAACAACCAGTCACATAACCACTTTTTTTCAGTCTAAGTGCTACCTGAACAACCGTGCAAGAAGTATTAAGCTTAAAATACAAGGATGATACTAATATGATTCATTTGTAATGTCATTAGCTTTCACCTCTACATGAGGCTGATTTCTAGCATCAGGGTATGCTTCCGGTGGTTTTGTTAATGTCTTTGTGATGACATATTTTTCCAGTGGTACTTGCCCGTTCCTCATTTCCTCTTGTACCTAAAATTAATTACATAATGCTGTAATTATTTACTTGTCTGGCATGTCAAATTGATAGTGGGAATCAAATGATGTCACAAAATAATAAGACGGCATGATTCAACACAATATCTCAAACAATACAAGGAGATAACTTAATCTGTGAGTTTGCTTGCTCTTGTATATTAAGCATATTTACTATGAGCCAAAGCTAAGGGCACAAAAAGTTGAAGAAAATACCTTCATTAGAGAATTGTGTATTACTTCAACAACATCCTCACAGGACCTGAAAGCATTTGACCAAATTTTATATGGTAAGCTTTAGAAAGACAACACAGAGATTTCATGCAAAAAACAAAACTGACCCCCCAGATAAAATTTGACTGAGGCAGAAATCTCCCAATTCCTTTGACAGTAAGCTCCAATCACGACGGACCATATCAAGACCTTTCCGCTCGATAACCTGCACCAAACTCAATAAGAGTAAAGCAACAGACAATTGGATTTTTATATTCAATTGAATTACCAAAGTGTAAAGGAAGCTACCTCATATGCTGTACCGTCCTTAAAATGCATTTTGACAGCTGCATATTTCTTTTTCTTGAGCAACAACATTCTCTTGTACAAGCCATCGAGATCAATCTCCAGACACCTATACTTCTTATTAACCTATCAAAAACAAATAGGAGTCATTCTATGTATCACATATATTAGACCTTTTTTAAACCAGAATAACATAGACCATACAATGTGCCAGACAAACATGCTAACGAAATAGGTCTAACAGATGCTGAATGGATTAAATAAACTTCCAGTGCATATGTTTCCATGTTAAGCCATAATCCAGCTCGTGTTACAGATACTTGAAACAGATCAATAGATCTACTAAATGCTATTCTTTGCCTCAATCATAACATTAATCCAATGATTTTGACCATATGCAACTCAGGCAACAAAGAGAAGATATCTCTTCAATAATGAATGATGAAGTACCGATATCCCCTTTCTGCCTAGCAGGAAAAATGATTACCAATAATAAGCAATTTAAGTAATCTCACCTCCTGAATGACCTTCCCTGCAATTGATTTAGCTTTTCCAATATCATCAAGCCCGCTATATATCATTATCGAATCGGTGTCGCCATAAATAACCTGCTTGAAAAAGTATGTTAGCTTCATGGTTCCAGAGAAAAGCACTCTAATGAGTTTCGTGTATGTTCTAGAAACTGGAGCAATTTTGTATAAGTGCTTACCTCCAAGTTTAGATTATTTTGAACAAGATCCACAGTGCTCTGCAAAATTTCCCTTCCCTGCAAAAAATGTATAAGATGGCCTATAGCATCTTTATCTCCAATGGGCAGACCTAGGCCACCGTTTAGTTTTTACCAATAACAAACTTCTTACTTGTAATGTTATAAGTTCTGCAAGGGGCTTTGCATAGAATCTCGAGTTAGAGAACCCCAGGCATCCGTACATGCTGCATAATGATATTTTAAAATCAATATATAACAAGTAACCAATGGAAAAACAAAACTTTGTTTTTTAGGATGAAAGCATGAGCAAACCTATTTGCTGTCAGCTTTAGCGCTTGTTGCTGTATGTCAAACTGCTGAACTTTGAGACCTGAAGCTGTTTTTAACCATCCCTTTACCATTCTTCTTCTCTCCACCAAATCCTTAAGTAACTATAGAAATGCAGTTTTTCGTTACGACTTACAAGAGAAAAATATAGAACATTTGTAAGTGTTTGGAATCAAATATCTATTTTGGCTTTTAAACTGCGTATGTACCTGTTAGTATAGTTATTTATCAATATTTCATATTTGTACTTCTCTGTCCAATCAAATAAATGGATCATTGTGAATAGACATGCCAATTACTAATGATAACATTGATTTTTTTATTTCCAATTTCCATGTCAACATGTATTTATTTTGGATATCATGTTCGATCTTTTTCCTTTGTTCATAGTTTGCATGCTATTAGTATGTATGTAAATATCTGTTCAATCATCAAGGGAATCCAATACTTCCAATGAATGTGGTTATATATAAATACCCTTCTTGTACTGGTATGTTTAGCACCAAAAAATTTTCAGACCAGATGCACCAATATATTTCATATTAGTGAACAGTCCAACTGGAGTAAAAAGCTCAGCTACTGGTCTCCATGAGAACTGCATATGGATATTTAACTATTTAACTCTTAAAATGATGCATATATGGACGTTTTACCTCTGGTAAAACCCCACTCCTTTTACTGGATGGTAAATTGGGAGGTGATCCATCGGCAGGTCTTTCCACAGTAGTAAAACAGATATTATATTCCTGTCACTCAGATAAAGAGATACTTAAGTTAACAAGCAATTACATTATGAACAGTGCATAAAGGGCAGCAGGTAAAAAATAGTCATGATAGAAAAATATGAAATACAACTGACCTGAATAATGGAAGGGTACAGACTGTTGAAATCCAAAAGTAAAATATACTTATCGTATAGTCCTTTTTTTGGCTCCAGCACTAAACCACCTAAATAGGAAGGTCCTTTTTTTGTTTTACCATGATTATTTTCGGGAGCCTCGTCATCAAAAGTTGTATCTTCTTGATCAATCTCTTTGCTCTGTGCACCACCACTAATTTTCCGTTTTGCTGTCCTTGTCTCCTTGGACTGAGAAGAAAACTTGTCTGGGACAATAAACTTCTTGGCATGGAATGCATGTAGCAGGAGATATTCCACTCTTTGTGCCCTAGCACCCTGAAATCAGACAAGACAACTCATTTTACAAATTTACTTGCAATCTATCATGAAGCAACATCACTCAGATCCACTGGAAATCTCACCTGAAGAGTTTTATGCCAAAGATTGCCACTAATTTTAGTCAGTTGACGAGTGAGTGGGAGGACATTCAGGTGGAACATAAGTTCCATAGACAACCATGCGTCTGTTTCACCATACTCGATCTGCAAATAGTGCAAGTGTGAATCGCATAATGCAGAAGAACCCAGCTAGCTATAGAAAACGTGTAAGAATTTTATCTTCAGAGTTGGAAAGAAGGCTGGATCATTACTGAAACAATTTTCAGATGCCTCGAAAACAGGAACATTGACACATGATTAAAATTATCAGAAGAAAGATTACGACCTAGAGATTGTGGAATTAGAAATCTGTTATACAATTTTGTCCAGGCTGCTGCTCCATAGGTAACTACTGACCTACTTTTGCTTAACTCCAATATTGAACGTATATTTTAAATTCTCATGTCCTATGCATCATCGATTATATATGTATATTTTCCGTGTGTGTAACTTAATCACAACGCTACAACCAACTTTCAAGAATATTATGGGCACTTACAAGTTCCAGTAGCAATTCAGAACTTTGGAACATCTGGGGAATATCGTGAGGAGTTATCTCCTTACGGTCCTTATTCAGCTGTGTCTTTGCTAGTTGTGTCAAGGAATAGCTAACCTGGAAGAAGCCAGGCATGTTAAACAGTGAGAGAAACAACAACTGCTATATAATATAAAATAACCCACCTCCTTCAGTAGGTCACGCGAACAAATGTAAGTATCACATAAGAGACGGCCAGCAATGCAAGTCATGATTCCGGGACTCGCTCCTGAACCAAATACTGAGCTTCCTTTGCTAAGTTTGGGCATCACAGAGCGCTTGAGGCGGCCTATTTTTGACCACATACTGCTAGACACGGTTGAAGCCTGCAAAATGAGATATATAAAGGATCCTAAGAAAAGTAGCTTTGTGATGCTCAGATACAAAGCTTCTACAAAAAATACCAAGAGAAAAAGGGGCAGAACTAAAATAAAAGGTTAAAGAAAGAGTAAATGCTGTAGAAAGGAGTTGGATGGTAATTAAAAGGCTAGATCTACATATTTTTTGGTGTCGGGTACTCTGTGAAAAAGAAAGAAGACAGCATTGTATCTGATAGATGGGCCTGGATAGGACTCATCCCCAAAACTAGCTCACAGGGAGAGGGTGCTCAACCCACACTTATACACAATAACAGGCCAGTAACTAAACGATGACGGGCAAACATAACAGTATCTACGTGAGATGTAGAAATCACTCAATCATGAACTTCTGGAGAAGCACAAAGTGCTGGAACAAAGACTCCTATTATTTACATAGTAAATATGCAAATTTAGTACAAGTATACAACAAATACCTGGACTCTGTGAAGAAGGACATCCAGGTCAAACCCGGATATATTGTGCCCAACCAGAACGTCGCTATCCAATTTGTGAATCTCAATCATCAAACGATTTAACAAAGCTCTTTCACTGAAATGAAATTCATTATCATATAGCAGATAGTTAGCAAACTAAAAAGGCATAACAAAAGAATATGAAAGTTCGACCAATAATGGAAGAATAGTATATTAAGCCACATTATGAGTTCACAATAAGACTTGCCTGCTTTCATAGCAAATAACATTTGACCCAGCCTTAGTATTTTTCTCAGCTGCCTCCTTCGCAAAACCCATAGGAAATATGCCACCTTCAAGTTTACGCACAACAGTGAAATGACTAAGCATACCAGGACGGGTCCATTCTGAAGCCATCATGGGAGAATCTATCTGGAAAAATTGTCATTTAGTGAATAGATTTTACATTTATGACATTATAATGCTTTCATCATCATCCATAATGATATTTAGAAATGCAAGAGTCAACATGATTTAGCTCCACATGAAATGCCAAATTATTTAACATCGACATCTTAAAACTGGAAAAATATCAGATTGGTAAAAGAGAGGGAGAGATATTCTATCCACAAATGTGTCACTATGTGTTGATGCGCTGTACCTTAGCCTTGTGGCAGCAAATAACAGATGCAGCAACAATTTCATTGACATTATGTTTCTCGTTGTTGATAGTTTTCAAATTTATTGCTGCAACTACAACAGGAGGAATTTCCAAGACATTTTTCGATGACGTTGAGACTTGAATATCCTTTGTGAAATCTACTGTAACCTCAAATTTACACCAGCTCACCTGTCAAGAAGTAAAAGTAATAGTTTATCACAAGGTAACCAGACACTGCTTATGTAATAAAAACTCCAGAGTATCGAAAAAAGACTCACGCGCTGAGAAGCTGCGCAGGTCGAGAACTTTGAGATTGATAACCATGATGGTCCTTTAATTTTCCTTTTAATCAAGAAAAGCTCCAAGCAGCTGCAAGCAACATTAGCTCGTAATTTAATAATGTCTAGTTAGTATAAAGAATTTCACCAAGTCACAACCTTTAACCTATAGACAGTGAGAAAAATCGTCAAAGTGATTAGATAAACATGCCATGAGTGATGATCAAAGTCCTAAACCAGGACTACACCATGAATGTGAACTCAGAGGCCATCAACAATAAATGTGGCAAAAGTCTCGACCATACAAACGAAGCGAAGCGAAGACTAGTTAATGATTTTTCACAAATATATTTTTTACTAATCAACAATGTTGGGTACCCATTGTACATACAAAACATTACAAAGTTAAAGGATATTATTGCACTACCCTTAGTAGTGCCTTCAAGCTATTATCATTACATTGACTGACCTGCTATGAGTTCCAAGCAAAGCACAGAAGTTATTTCCCTTGAGATCTAATGGAAGCGGTTGGTCCTGTAAGGATACAAGGATCACTGAGGCCAAATAGGCTTAAACATTCTTCTCAAATTCATTACTCAGAACTTCGGACATCAAAACTCCAAGTTTTGCTTGAATAAACCAAAAATATTGACAACTCGAGATCATAAAACAACAGACCCCTATGAAATGTATAATGGCATACCTTAAATGGATAGTTGATCTTGAGGACATAATTTTCCCCATGAGGTATATCTGATCTCTCAAATGCATAATTTCTCTACAAGATAAGAAACAAACATGCAATGTAAGGGTTTCAAAGTTTAATATTCCCAATATAAAAGCATCAGATATCAAGATGTAAAAAATTATGGAGTCCACTATTTAGTTTATGAAATTATCCAGTGCATTATAGTGACGAGTTTACCAACCTTAACAGGTGCCATGCTGAAACTAGAAACATTCCTTTCTAGCAACTCCTTTGCTATTTCAGTCTTCATGTCTGATGCCAGCTCCTGATACAAAAGTTTGGTTCATCAAAAAGAGGAATAATTTTTTCCAACATAAAAAACAACTGCTCGCGGCCTATAGAATGGCATAGTATTACGTGAAGTCGGTTACGCAGAACAGTTTGAGACTCTTCAACATCTTTCTGTAGCTTATCAACCATATCTTTAAGGTCTGTGGATGGCGTTCGGGACTTTTCAACATCCCTCCCTTGCTTTACAAGTTGGTCTTTAGCAGCCATGAGGGCCATTCTAGACTCTTCAATCTTTTTTTCGAGCTCTTGAATTGTGTCATTGTGCAGAAAAGAAACAGTTGGGATTGCATACACGCATCTCTGCATGTTTTTTACAACCACACAGCAGCTGTGGTAGGTACCTCCTGATTTGACCTTAAACATAACAACCATTCTCAGATATCGAGTTTAGGAAAGCTCATACCCTTAGTACAAAATTTGTAGAGAAGCCAAGATTTCAGATTAAAGATAAGCATCAGCGAGGTTAATTTCTTTTCAGAAAATTTTCACCAAATCAAAGTTGTCCAAATAAATTGAACAAATGTCACTATGATAATAGAAATGCATATGAAATGTCCACAAAGGAGTGGTTGTGTAAGATGTCATCTAAAATGAGTCACGATAGGCAAAAACCAAGGTAAAAGCAGAAGAGTTTCACCAAGGAAAAAAAAAAAAAAATCAGATAGATCGGCTAATCATCAAATAAGAGATCTCTCAAAATGTAAGAGAAATAGGATAAAAGAAATGTGTTAGGAGAAAAACTATTCTCCCAAATGGAACTTTGAAATCATCATTAACGAGCTTTGAAGAAAATCTATACCCATTGAGATTCTACATTACGTCCAACAGCAATCAGTAAGGGTGTTTATTAGACCTACAGAAGTTTGCTGAAGCCTTGTAACTCAAAGTTAGTAAGCAAGTAATCAAGTATCCAATCATGAAACAATACATTAATGAATAGCTATAAATTTAGCATAGAACACAATTATAAAAAAATATAATGCATAATTAGGACACAGAAAAGAGGAATATACCTTTCCAAAGAGATACAGATTCCCAGCATTAGCACCATAAATTTCCTCGTAGGCATCAAGTATGTAGAACGGCAGAGAGCCATCTGACTCCACTTCAAAATCCAACTTCTCCTCACTACTTGTGCTCTGATTCAGCCCAGGCCCCGATGCATTACAGTCCGCAATTACGTTTTGCCACCGTGCAGTTGCACTAAGTGTTGGGTCTTTAGAATCTTCAATTTTTGCATTGAGCGTAAATATCTTCTTCTCTAACCCCTTGGATTCAGCTATATCTAGTGATCTTTCTTCATTAACAATTTCTCTATCTTCACTCTTCTCCAGGATTTCCTTATTCTGTAATAAGGTGGATGAATTATCTTCAGTGAGAGGCAGAATATTTGTGTCGCTTTTCACATCTTCAACTTGTTCTAAACAGCCTTTCTGTGGGTCAACATTTACATCACCATAGTGATTGCTACTCTTATTGAATTCATTCCTGTCATCAGCATTAACACTACTCACAAATGGCTTCTCAATTTTCACAGACAAAGCACCCAAATTAGCTGCTGGGACACTGTTCAGCTTATTCACACTGAAATTGCTCAAATTGGCCCTTCTCCTCTTCTCCCTATCATTCTCGTCAGGCGCAAATTCGGCAATCACATCATCAACAATACTATCACACGACAAATTCTTCTTATCGTTCTTAAACACAGACGAGGTGAACATATTCGAAATCCTTTGCTTACCCATCAAGGCGGCCGCCGAAGCCAGAGCAGACGGTTTTTTCACGGCTTCTTTCTCCTTCTTCTCCGAATTGCAGTTGCTTTTCTTCTTTTTTGGCCTCTCGGTTTCTTCCTCGGAATCATCGGAGGACAATGAGCGCCCGGCAATCGACCAGTCCTCTTCCTGCCCTTCATCCCCATAGCCTAAGCCGTTGTCATCCACGATAAAACCCTTGACCTCTTCCCGGCGCTTGGCTACCAAAGCTTCGTACTCTTCATCTTCCACAGTGTCGTAAATCGGCTCCTCCATCTTGATCTGGTAGCCTCCGGCTTCCATTTCTCGTCGGCCTCCGCGACGGAGCTCCTTTAGGAGCTTGAGTTTTTCGGCGCGCGCAGTCGCGGCGGCGCCGCGCGTCCTGCGCCTACCGGCCTCAGCTGGCTGCTCGTCCGACATTTTTGCTTTTCTCAGTCGATTTGGTGCTCGATAGGCAAGTCACTGTACTGTCACTCTCCAGATCTGAAGTTTCGAGGGATGGAGGAGGAGAAAATGGGGGATGGGAGTGTTGAAAATGGCGGGAACGTGTGCTTTTGGCGCTAACATGATAGGCTCTCATCGTCCTCTTTCCACAATTCGAAAGCCTGATGGGCTAAGCCACTATGGTAACACTTTAGGGCTTCTGAATGGATTATTCATGCTGGGCTTATATGAAATATTTCTAAGGCTAATTTACAATATTTATTAATAAACTTAACTACAAAGTAGTCGTCTGATATAAATTAAAAAGTGATATAGGATATTATTGGATTTGATCGCGGATATATTGGATTTGGTCGTGCATATATTTGATTTGTTCGTGATTATATTTGATTTGATCGAGAGATTATTTGTTTTGTTCGTGATTACATTTGATTTAATCGAGAGATTATTGGATTTGACAGTGGATATATTTGATTTGTTTGTGAATATATATTATTTGATCGTGGAATTATTTGATTTGCTCGTGGAGATATTGGTTGACTTATTTGTGGAGATATTATTTGATTTATTCGTAGAAAACTTATTTGATTGGAAATAAATGCGGGCCGCAATTTCGAATTGAGGATATTTTCGGACTGTATTTATCGTGTTTTTGGTGAACTTATGGGTGGGCTCGAGGAGGTGGATTAAAATTATAGGATTCGATATCTTGATGTATTGGGAACCTCTCATTTGAATTTTCATGTGGAAATATAGAATTTTGTCGAGTTGATTATTCATAAGTTTTAAGCAAGTCATTGCTCGAGCATGTCTTAAGTCGGGGAGATGGTGATGTTTGTATTTGATCTCTTATTTTTTTTTGCGTGGATAATTGCAAAATGGATAACTTGAATATAATGTGGATAATGATATCTCTCTGAATTCTTGTCGAGGAAACAACGAAATAACCCGAGTTTCAACAAGCTATGGTGGGCGAGTTATGGAGTTTCAAGGACAAAATGAACGAGCATGAATCCATCAAAGAAGGGTGATAATGAGGGACGAGTATAGATGGTGTCGATCGCAGGTGGCAATTTCAAATGCATAAATCATGCTCTTTTGGAGAGGTAGGATAATTGAGAGTGGTATTCTCGACCTTTAAATATAAAATTAATCCCAACTCTTATCTGCGGTCAAGTTCGACTGAAACTAATTTGTGACACATGGAGTCTCTTAGCATTTTTTTTCGGGAGGAATGTTCATCTTTTGAATATTTTGGGTGAAATGTTGTTGATTGTGGTGTATATGGATATGTTTGGAAGTATTATTTGAGTGACTAGCAAAATACAAAAAAATGAGGTGTACGTGAAGCCTCGAACAAAAATCTACCACGACTACGGCCTTCGGACTGGCCAGTCTCGAGTCGTCATTACTAAGGAGCTCGGTATTGCAAGTAACTTAATTGAATTCTCGTTTGATGCATTCGTCTAATGATTGCGTATCTACAGAGTACAGTTTTATATATTTTTTTTTTGAATTCATGGGTTTGGGAAATTTTGGTCGAGTGTACCCTTGATAAGGTGTTTATGTGATTTCATATCGTGGTAAAGAGACTTGCAATTAGATTGAGGTGTGGTACAAAAGCATATGGACCAATTTGATTGCTTTGATTTAATCATCTACTACTATTATTGTATCAGGATTGCAAATTGGATGATTTAGATAAAATACGATTTACGAAATTTGTTGAATTCCTACGGAGGAAAATACATGAGCAGGTATTGGTTATGGTGAGGAGTGGAAAGCAGGGAGCAAACAACAACTTAGGTGTTGTGTTCCCAGGCGGTGGCGACCGGTGCCGACGAAGGGGAGGTCGTCGTGATGAACTCGAAGCACATGGCGTGTGCATGTGTGTTGCGAGTTACAGTGGATTGTGGTAGCTGAAATTTCAGGGAGCTTCTGCGGACGTGGGCAGCGGTATTGAGTTGCAGGCGGCGGCGATCGGCGGCGGAGAACGGTGTGGCCGCATGTGTAACTCAGGAGAATATGTTTTGTGTGTGTGTCTTGCGGGATGGTGATGACCTGAAATTTTGGGAGAGGTTTGTTAATTCCCGTCGGTGATGCCGGCATTGGCCGGCGACGGTGAGATCTGCTTTCACGCTCTCGAAGTTTTTTTTTTCCTTCATTCGCAGCAGGTGTTTGTGTGTGTGTGTGTGTGTGAGAGAGAGAGAGAAGGGGGGGAGAGACGTGTTGGGTGTTTGTGAGTGTTGGTGGAGCCCACGTTTTTGGTTAGATTGTTGGATATGTATTAATTACTAATTTACCCTAATTAAGTGTGAAAAATTGTCATTTTTGTAGCCATTAGATTGTCAGATCTAATGGTTATGATCCATTCTCATCGAAGCACGACCATATTATATATATATTTTGAGTGGAAATTTTTGTATCTAAGCACACCTTTAGATTTCACCTCAAATTATCATTTGATAGCTAGCGAGTCAACCTAATATATAGCACAACCTTTAAATGTTTAATCATCCCAAGTTTTACTTTATTATTTGTTTATTTCATACTCTATTGTTTTTGCTACTTGGATCTTACAAAGTGAAATTTCTTGACAGGAAGGGAGGAGGATGAGCCAAGGAGGTTTAAGCAAATGAATCAATAAAGCAGATTAAAATTTCGAGGAGAATAATAGCTGTACATAAATTAAAAAACAATGCAAGTACCCAGAACTCATGATGATGGTAAAACAATGTACTATATCAATCACTGCATATAATATTTGCGCAATTCATATTGTGCATCGTCCATCATAACTCGATTTATCATTCTGCTTCACGATGCTAGTAAAGTTTTCGTGTTTAACAGCAGTGTGAGAATTCAGTGTGATTTTTCAGGACGGGAATAACGGAATGCATTAAAAAAAATGTGCCTACTATACCCAAAGAATTAATTTTCCCCACTCGAATGATCAAACGTACATATGGTTCTCACGAAAAAAAATATAAGATTAGAGCCGCATGTGGAGGATCAAAATTAATATTGTCAAAACGAACCAATGTGGTCTGTTTGTTGGAGAATTGTTTGCCGGAACTGGTGAAGTCTCGATAGGTGACAGCTGAGCTGGAGGCGGAGGCGAAAGCGCAGGGACATCACATGTACCGAATGTCGCATTTTCCTGCAATCCATAATTCATTCCAAAAAATAAAAAAATAATAATAATAAAAATGTTATGTTATGGTGCAAAGTTCAATCCATTTCGTGGTAAAAAAAAAAAAAAAAAAA